GTACTCCGCAAACTGCAAAATATTTTTTGTTTGGACTTCGCGACCTTCGGGGTCCGCGCTTGTCTAATGAGTGCGAAGAAGGACACGCATGTCCAAAGAATGTTCAGCACCTCGCAGGTTGGTGTGTTCTGTGAAGCAAGCTTGAAATACTAGCGAAACACACTTGTTTGCAAGCCGATTTGGTTTTATCGGAGACTCACCTGGAACCAAGCTGAACATCTTGTTTAAGATGTTTTCAAGCAACTCCTGCACCAGGCCTTCTCACGGTTTCTGTCAATGTAATGTCCGAGATATCGTGATACATGTATAGACGTAATACACTACTAAAGCTTGAACGCCGCGAGTTTTCAACACTCTGAAGTCACTCGAATAAAGCTTGAACGCCGCGAGTTTTCAACACTCTGAAGCTACGTCACTCGAAATGTCGTGGAACTTAAATTACATTCAGAAACGCCAAAAAACGTTTGTTACCACGTGTGCACCCCACAAAAATCCAGTAGTGATGAATAGCGACACATTGCTCACAAAACAGCATTTTATCTCAAAAATTGAAAACTTACTGTTGCGACGCAAAGCGTACTAGACCTTCCCTGTGTAAGTAGGCTTTGAATGGATTGAAGCAGGTCACGTAGACGTAAAGTCGGAGATCGAATTTGGTGTTGTTTATGAGGAATGGCCGAGAAATGTAGGACTGCACAATAATTTGCCGTGACTTGGGAAGGTCTGTTATATTCTGAACTACATGAACACCAATCCCGCGCGCGGAAGCTGGCTGTTTATGGGAAGAAACTTCCGTTGTTAAATGAACGATCGCAAAGTTTTAGTGAAATACCTTTCTCCAAAAACTGTTTTCGTTTCACAGACCAAAGGGACTCTGAAGATAACGTCTTGGGAGATCTAGGTTGTCTTTTGGCTAACATCTAGACCATCATTCAGTAGTATACTACAAATGGCTAACAGGATCAGGCGCATTTAGCCCACAGTTAAATTATGTGTGTGGTGGGTTGCTTTATAGCCAAAAACTCAAGGATGGACGTGATACTACCTTACCGCAAACATTCTGATCTGTCCACATCCCAAAACTCTTAATCAGACAATCTGAAAGGAAACTGAAAACACGAATGCGAATAGCATCGATTAGCCGCTATTTCTTGCAACGTCTTTGACAAGCTCGGGCATCACAGTGACCCTATCCTAGAAGATGGGCCAAACAAGCTGCACCTGTCTCTTCGTAGGCATTAGTTGAGTTTTTCATCTCGGTGGACCAACCTACTCTAAGAAGCCGAGGAGCACTGTACAGCAATTCCATTCTCAGCGGGAACCATTAAGCGGGCGCATGTCACGAAACTAGGAGAGTTTGAGTCCTGCTAACTTTCAGCCAGTGATTGGCTACAGGCGGCTGACCAGAAGTGTGATTAGCTCTCACTTAGATAGGACATATCGCAACTTATCCTTTATTCAATTGAGCCAGATTTCATGGTCACCTTTTGATTTTCTGCCCGAATAACGGCTCGTTACATCGAGGTTCTAGAGCTTGTGGGCTGCGTGACGAGTTTTGCTAGTTCTCAGCGAAAAACCCTGAACATTCGTAACATGTCCATCCCAAATAGAGGTATAGCAGCCGTACAGTGCTTCTCAGCTTTCAGCATTGATTAGCTTTACTGGTACGCGGAAATCTCATTTGAAACTTGCCATATCTCCTCACGTCATCATTTACTTCCCTAACATCTTTCCTACCTCCTTGGTAAGTCATACTTTGGCCACCCCACACCGTTCTGAAATAGGCATGGGGGAAATTGCTCATATTGCTAGACGATGTTTCGAAATGTGCAGAAGACGGCCGAGCCACCGCAGTTAATGGTGCTGGATGATTCCGACAACTGTAATAGCTGCTGTACAAACAATATCTGTTTTTAATAGCTGTCGCTGACGCCATTAGACACCAGAATATATCGGACTGAATCCACGTATGATTAATTTTCAGCGTTTTGGGGAAGGCCATGCCTATAAAGATGCAGGCATACAGGCATGCTTTCTTTGGATGCTTCGTATGAGCGATGCGGGTCACAAAACCCTTGTATAACTTGGGTGTACCATCTGTTCACATGCTTATGTCACTGGAACTGCCAATTTCCAGTCTCAATCCTTCGAAATTACACAGGATACAGGTCGTTTTGCCATACGCCAAACGTGAAACCAAACTTGACATTGCCCCCTTTTCGCACAGGTAAATCAGCTTAATGACCAAAAAATCCAAAAGCTAATACCGGCGCACCACAGTTTGACTAAAATCAGCTAATTCTTTCGTAGTTGGAGTCAAGGAAGAACCGGAATAAATAGGTCAAGCCAAGAACATAATATACTTGCATCATTTTGAAAACGAATGATTTTCGAGTCTCTTGTGTCATTCTGAATAGAATCCAGTAAAATCGGTACAGAGAAAGCGAATAGCATTACTACTAGGAGGAATAAAGTATCAGGACTTTGAGAGGGTGAAAAATCCAGAACTGTTTAATATAAGGCAGAATAAAGGCAAGTGAAGATATTACAGATAATCACCCGTATTTTGGAGGCAAGTTTCGTATCTACATCCGCAGAACAACTCATTTCAAGATTTTTGTCTATCGATTAAAACTCTCTGTACATTACCTTGTCTATCATTTAGACGTGAATCCTTTCCATCCATGTTCCACATTTATGCTCACCTACTGCAGTCTAGGGGTGGGCACCATGGCAGTATCCAAGACCACATACAACCCTGAACTACACGGTTAACATGTTTTAAGACAGTGAAGTTCCAGTGTTCCTATCGGATGTTGCCGAGTCCGGGGGCCAGCCGCTCTTAATAACCGATCACCACGTCGATTCGACGGATGTGTCACGCGAGGGATAAAGACTAAACAAAGCTAGGCCTTGATTGGTCAAGATATCGGCCAATCTGGATCGAGGGACTGTAGATCAAGGCTTCTCGTTCCCTAACGAAGATTCTAGCGCGACGATGTGACGCATTTTGTATTAACCCCTTAAATACAGTGGTAATAATTTCCCGTTGTCTCGATAAAGGACTGTATCAAACTAACGTTCCTTTTGATACACAATTGTGGGCGGAGCAGGAGGCCAAGAACCGACGAAGAATTTGCACCACTGTCAGCAACAAAAAAACCGGTGAGGGTAATGGTAACTGTGGTAAGTACAAGGTATAAACATTAGCAAAATTCGCTTTTCCAAACTAACGTTCCTTTTGATACACGATTGTGGGCGGAGCAGGAGGCCAAGAACCGACGAAGAATTTGCACCACTGTCAGCAACAAAAAAACCGGTGAGGGTAATGGTAACTGTGGTAAGTACAAGGTATAAACATTAGCAAAAGTTCGCTTTTAGAAATGGATGAACCCTTCTTTTTTGGAATTACCCATACCTAACTCAATCTACAAACCTAGTGTCACTCACTGACCAATTACTCACCGGTTTAATGATCCACCTCGGAACCACCGCGTCACCAAGGATGTTTGCAGAACCATCGTGATTTGCGCGTTCTTGTCGCATCAACATTTCCCTCAACTGTCGTGTATCCGCAGGTAGGCAGAAGGTGCGCGGAACAAAATCAACCGCCCGACGTCCAAAGTGTGACCTAAGTTGGTTCAGATTGATCCATAATTTGTCCTTGCGCCCCAGTTGGAATGACCCGGGGAAGTGGTTCACCTTTTGGTACTCTTTGATTGGACGGAAACCGAGTGGTTTTAAGTGGTTCCCGAAGTAGCCCAACCATTCTGAGCTTTCTGGTGGTTGAAGGTAAAAGACGGCCTCAAACGTGATAAGCTACTCAAAACCAGTAAGTAGATAGAAGTAAATACACACCCTTGAACTGAGGAGCGATTTCGTCAAATCGTCAAATTTCATCATCACCATCATCATCATCATCATCGTCATCATCATTAGTTATCATCTTTATCACCTGTAAAAATTCCATTTTAAGCGACTGATGACTTGCAGCTCCTTCTGGTTTATCGTGAAAATTTTTGAGTATTTTTGGCTAGTCAAGAGTAGCCGTATAACAGATTAATTTCGGCGCAAGTCCGAAGCAAAGAAAAAACTATTCGGGTCGTGTTTTTCAGACATCTGAGTTGTATTGGGTGCGAATTTAACAGCTCAAATTGTGATGTAAAGTACTTCAGTAGATCAAAGATACGTCTGATGGTTTTTCGGCAGATAATACTTGTTTGCAAGGGTACAACGCTGATAGTATTTCGTCCAAACTCACCGATCTGCGATTACATGTAGAAAGATTATACAATCTGAATTGTCGGCCGACGGATAACCTGATTTCTTGGTGGGAGATCTTGCACTGGATTGGGCTGTTTCTTTGAACGTGGGAAGCGTCAGTGTCTCTAATAGTTTAGGGTTGACCACTCCAGCAGCACACAAATACTGCGTTTGTTTATTAGTCATATACTTGAAGGCTGTCGCTTGCTACTTATGAGTGTTCGAAAGTGTAGATGTTTGGAAAATTTAGGAAAGTTCACCAGTCTGCTTCTTTCTTCTGTCACTTTACCATAAAGTGTTGTGTTTGGAAATTGAGTAAAATGGGTAAAATATTTGCACTTTACTTGGGATTATAAGAAAACTAAGTGGTTGACATTGAGCTAGCTTTCGGAACGCTTGCAAAATAGATTCCGAAGGAGATTCACACTAACCGCGAGATCATTGTAGTTGCCAAGTCATAGAATAAGTATACAGTGCTCGTTCACGCTAAGCCAAGTCAACCGTAGCAACTCTCGCCGGTCATGTCAACTTGCATCCATCCCTCCTTAAGCCGGAGAGTTTCCGCAATCCGCATCAAAAGCACATTGATTCTAGGACACATAAGCTTCCGCTGCTCGGTTAATCCTGTTTCCAGATTCTTTATATGCGTTTAATCATTAGACTCATTGCATACGAACCACTTAAGATCAATGATTCCTTTAATATCTACTATCTATCTATCTATCTATCTATCTATCTATCTATCTATCTATCTATCTATCTATCTATCTATCTATCTATCTATCTATCTATCTATCTATCTATCTATCTATCTATCTATCTATCTATCTATCTATCTATCTATCTATCTATCTATCTATCTATCTATCTATCTATCTATCTATCTATCTATCTATCTATCTATCTATCTATCTATCTATCTATCTATCTATCTATCTATCTATCTATCTATCTATCTATCTATCTATCTATCTATCTATCTATCTATCTATCTATCTATCTATCTATCTATCTATCTATCTATCTATCTATCTATCTATCTATCTATCTATCTATCTATCTATCTATCTATCTATCTATCTATCTATCTATCTATCTATCTATCTATTTATCTATCTATCTATAATCTGTATCTATAAGTAGATTTTACAAAAAATATTATATGGACATTATTCCAAATAAAATCTAAATTGGTCGATACACCATGAGTGAACTACCGGCGTAAGAGAATACGAAGGCATAGAGAAACTTACTCATTGTGAGCATGAAATGTGAACGCCGAAGGGCACGCTTGACCACGTTTGGTGTGATCAAACTTGGACGCCAATTGAGACGGTCCCGATACGGTTTGGAAAGCTTGATAACTGTTTACCACAGAAGAAGTTGAGCGTGACGTTATTCGAGTGATACTGCAGCGTGACGTTGTGTTAAAAGGCATTTAGCTAAGTTTACAAGGTGAAATACCAAGAAAAAGTTTTTGGGGGGTCCAAGCAGCCGGATTTTTTCAAATGAACTTTACCAAATTCACATTCAGAATACTCAGATTTCAGGACCAGAAAGAGCGTTTTATCTAACATGTGGCAACCAAAACAATGTTCGACAACTGTGCGTTGACCGGCTTACCAGTTTGACCATCTCCAACGAATCGAAGTACTGAAGGCGTATTTGGAAACAAGGATGCAATGACTGGGGCGACTCCTTTTGGTTGGTCTTGTATAGATGCCTCCGAATTTGACACTTCCGTTAGAGACTAGAGCATAAATACATATGGTATGTAATCAGTAATATCACAGGGAATAGTTGCAATCAGGTTGGATGAACGGTCCACTGATTTACAGAATGAAAAATATATAGCTTTAATTTAATGGGTTTTGTAGACAGCGACCGGTTAACAACGACGTGCACCTAAACGTAAAAAACACGTCAGAGGAAATCCGGACCCGATAACCAAACATAGATCGCATTCTATCTTTGCTGCCCATACGGAGGTGGAGTCTCTTCTTAATACTAAATTAAGGTAAGTATAGTCCGCGAATAGCGGGCAATAGGGGCTCAAGTAGAGTATACGGTTGATTCAACGGAACTCGAAGACTGTACCCATTGATGAGCCCCGAGAAGGACAAAACCAGTAGTGAGTTGTTGAGTTTAACCCAAATTAGTAGGGTGCAAACAATTGTAGCTCTCCTATTTTCAATTCACGTGACAATTTTTATCGACAGTGCGAGAAACCAACCATGTGCCCGGTATAGGTTGCACGGTCATTTCAATACTACTGGTGAGTAGCATAAGTCAAAATATGTAGTGCAACGACCGAACGTGACGTTCCAGTCTGTTTCAGTTGGTATAGTCTGTCAACTTCTAACAGTTTCAAAATTTCCATAAAATCCTACTGTACTGCTTGGATGTAATACCTTGGATCCCTGAACACGAGATGCCAAAGAATTGCGTGACCTTTGACAAGTATTTTAGAACTCTAGCAGTTTACCAGCCTGTTCGCCAATGAAAACGACGCTGTCTTTATTTTTCAGACTGTTTACTTTATCCTCTCCGGCAGCCAATGGCTCAACAAAAGACGATACTTCCCAGAAGAAACCGTTTTGGAGATTTTGGGTTTTTTTTATCATGAGGAAATATGAGGTGAAAAACATCTCAGAAGTTAACAAGGAATGATTTCACAGGCCAAGCATGAGGTGCGTTCTAGCTGCCCTCCAATATATTCAGATTTTTTGCTTGGAATCAAATAGAGGTTACCGTGGCTCAAACATACTTATTTGACCCCAAATGCAGGAACTTAGGGGAGCAGAACAGAAGCGTTATACGGGGACGGATCTTCAACACGTTCATTAACCGGTAGAAACAAAACACAAAAAGGCCAACGTTTGACACTGGCCACATATTTAATCACCATGGCTACCCTAGTCCAGCGGGATACGTGTGGTGGCCTGCTCAGCCTTCACTATGAGTTACTGCTGCCTTTGTCGACCTACGTGAGAGTGTGGAGGCTATTGCAATTTTTGCAAAATCTATCGTGGGCATTCGGAGGATAAAGCGGTTTTGGTGTGTATGAGCTCTGTAACCTTTGCACAACATTCCTGTGATGTGTGTATACAAGCATTGGAATTATGGCCTCGGCCCCGGCAGTCTTTACAGCCTTACTTCTGTCGATGGGAACTGTCCAAAAAAACAATAATCTTTTAGCTCTGGTTGAAGAACCCGAGACAGGCCACATCAATAGTTGGAGATATTGTCAGACATGGTCCAGCCGCGCCCTCAATAGCGCTCGTTTATCCAAGCTATTGTATTCAACGCATAGTTCACTTCATAATCCTTCCACCTGAAAATCCACTGATAGACCTGTATTTACGCACCAATTTACGCACCTACCTAACCTGCCTCTTCAAATCATCGGTGGACGAAATTGTGACAACTAAAACCGCTAGGATAAGTACCCGGTTCCCACAGCTGATGATGATGACAATGGTGGTCGCACCCTCTTTGGATACAGTAGCTGTGTAGGGCGGTTGTGGGTTGTGTCAGCTGGTTGGAATGATGGTCCTTGCATAGGTGCACCGAAGTCTTAACGGGGTGGTCACTCAATGATGTTGATTATATCGCCCATTTGTGCAGATTTATATGATTCGCCTTTGTGACGTTCTTAAGGGCAAAGACCGACTCTGTGTTATTTTTTCAAGTTTTCAGTACATTGGTGCGTTTTCCTCGTTAGATGCAGCATTATATCACACATCGGTGCAAACCAGTTTTGCCGAGGGTGATTGAAAGCGTTAAGGAATCGTTGAGTAGCGCGTTGTAAACGACAAGCGTTTTTGTGTACCCCTCAACCGGTGTGCTTAAAATCATTTCCAATCAATGATTAGACTGAAACAACATGTACTTTTCTCGGATTCAGTACCAGTCAGGACTCAGTGAAATCGGTAGTCCTTAGGGAAGCTGGTTGTTGCACATAAATCACTTGATAAATGATTTATACTGCTGTTACTAATTATAAGAGTCCACAATTGAAGTGAAGGGCTTACGGTCGCATTTGCTCGTCAGTGGTTTGATAAAACGACGGCCAGATTAGTCGGCAATCCAAGGCATGTTTGTAAAATCCCATGGGAACCACACCAATCAATACCGTTTATATCTTGGGGTACTACAACGGACTGGACCAACTTGTAAGTAGAAAATGTACATAGGCTTGGGCTTCAATGAGGTGAATAAACATTCACACGAATAACGAAGGGCTTCGATTTGTACCATCCATATGTTTATAGGAATCCCAGGTTTTAAGCGAGTAGTGCGAAACTGTTGCGTATCTAGAGAATGACTGGTCACGTGTTATTCTCGCTTTCCAGTGCAGCTCGGTTTATTAAAACTTGATCTTATGGTAAAATTTAGTTTTGTGATTTGGGCAGGTGGAAAACGTGCGGTTGCATTCTCAAATTAAACAACTAAGCCACTCTATAGCCTTCCAGGAAGGTAGGAGTTTTGGTTATTTGAACTCAGGTTTGGCGTTATCCATGAAGAAACACCTGAAAGCGAACCTCGTACATTGAATTGATGTTGGAAACCGACATGTCGGCAACCAAACTTGAACTTTACCAATTAACGTAAATCGAAAAGGCTCGTCTGTGTTAACAAAGCATCATTCTAAAACACTGATGTGCTGTCAATGGAGATTGTGATGATGATGATAATTACGAGTGTTCGGCGCTCTCTGACTGAGTTTTGATCAAGATTTCATCCTGATAATGAGACCATCCTATTTCAAAAGACGACAAGCGCCTTAAAACTGTTTCATCCTTGCTACGATTCGTCAGCATGGCACAGCTAACGAACCACTGAGTTTATTCGACCCTCGGGTATTAATGGTAAACTGAGACGTATTTCTACGAATGGCTGATCAGCATTGTGATTGACGCACACTTAGACACACTCAAGCACACCACTCACATCACGTGGTCACGTGGTTGTAAACTCCTAAGGTCACGTCACGTTGGCAAGCAGTGACATTTCCCAGAATTACACTGAAATTTGTCTCCGGGTCTTGAATAAGAATGCGGACTTAATCCCGATGTGCTTACATTCGTTCTGTCTTAATCTTATTCGTATACCCTCGAAGTATGCTTCTATCTGTTTATATTTCCGCTGTTTTACTTTATTTTCTTACATGAATAATGCACTAAATAACTAAAAACCTACTTTCTTCAAGCTATTCGTATACCCTCGAAGTATGCTTCTATCCGTTTATATTTCCGCTGTTTTGCTTTATTTTCTTACATGAATAATGCACTTAATAACTAAAAACCTACTTTCTTCAAGCTCAATACGCTGTCAGACTTCACAGTCCAGCCAAGTTCTATACAAACGGTTAATCAAATATACAGATAACTGTCCCGTATCCCGCTGTTTCGGGTTATCTGAACTCGGCTTTATATCTGTCTACCGTAGTAGATGATCCAACAGCCTGAATAACAGTCTTCGGTTGTTTGTATTTCTTCTTTTTTCTATCCGCTCACGTAGTCCCAGGAGATCTACCTACCGTAGTAGATGATCCAACAGCCTGAATAACAGTCTTCGGTTGTTTGTATTTCTTCTTTTTTCTATCCGCTCACGTAGTCCCAGGGAGATCTACTACAGCCGTTTCTCAACAGGAGCCACGATATTTGGCCTACCGAGACATAGCTTGCGTGGAACAGTGGCGCAGTCCGCGGCCCTTTAGATAGCGAATGAAAGCACTAATAAGATCCCATTATAAGTCGTGCTTGTCAAACATTTCTCAAGCAACATGATGGGTTTAAATGTAAGCATTAATTTGCTGTCCTCCAAACAGTAAAAAGACCAGGTTCGAAGACCATTGGTGAATTTTTTACAGCTGATCACTGGCTTGGATAAGCAATTAAAATACGACAGCCGTGGCTCAACAGGTGATCTTACGTTTGGCTTCAAGATCATCCTCAGAATTATTACGGTAACCTCATCACCACCGTCTTCCGCATCGACAACAGCCCTAGCGTGAAGTTGTGATACTAACGGTCGAATTCTGAGGTGAATATGACCCCAGGTCACCAGAACGTCTGAATATATCCGTAACCTTCAACAAGAATCAATGAGTATTGCACCAACCAGCCAGAAGTACCACAAATGTCAGTAAGAAGTCAGAAAAAAGGGCACTCACTTCAGCTTCTTCCATGCCTGGCTCATCATCATCCAGGCAGTCAAGTTCTTTTTCATCCAAATTGTTTGAAGCCTCGTTCTGCACCCCACGACTGTCTTCACTGTACAATTCTTCAAAATATTCTGTATCTCCACTTTGCGGGGTCAATGGTCCCTTCAGCGAACTGATATTCCAGTTTCTATAGAAATCTCCACTGGGCTGATTGATCGATAAATCTAGTAAATTTTTCTGTTCGTCGGAGTTGTTCAAAACGCCTTCGCTAACTTTTTTCAGATTTTTCATTTCATTTTGCATGTTTTCTTGATTCTTAGCGAAGGAACGGTTTCCTATCACTACCTGAGATGTTTCCCGCAGACGTAACGCTTGCTGAGGTCTGTCGATCATTTTTGGTGCATCAGGTACAACAACTAAATCGATTCCAGTGGTTTCATCTTTTTGCTTTTGCACGCCACCAGCATCGGGCGATTTCCGAGCACAGCGTTCCAGCGCCAGTCGAGTTAAACGCTTTGTCAGTTCCCGAGTAAACCGCTTACGCACGACAGATGACTTATTTTCTGTCATCTTTCCGTGTTTCCGGATTTTATTTGACTTCCTGGACCAGCGACGGTCCTCAGTAGTTACGGTCATATCCAGGGTTTTGTTTTGGTTCATCTGTGACTTTTCACTGGATAAGGGCTGACTTTCACGGGTTTTCGATAAGGCACTTCTTGCCTTGAAGGGCCGTGCCGCAAGCCTGACGATGAGCGAAGAATATAGCCAATGTCTGGCGTATTATACGGCATTTCACGAAGAATAATACAAACCATGCAGAAGCCCCGGTTCTTCTACTCATGAAAAATTAGACGCTAAAACTTAAACAACCATGCTTTAGGTGATAACCTGAAAATACAATGTAGGATTTGTCTTGCAGGTGAAGCGCCAAGGAGATGCTTCATTCATCGGAGTCACCAGCAGTGCGTATAATACAAACCAATGGGTATGTTTGGACCCACGGCTATCCAGTTGGTTGGTGAGCGCGTTTGAATGAACGGCAGTAATGAGAATGAATTACACAGAGCGAATTGCAGTAAAATACGGGTATAAGTCCTGTCTCACGGCAGAAACTTTCTTGGGTTGAAGAATTTTCGAATGAAAGGGTGGGGAAGTATTCCTTGTTATATTGTGAGAAGATTTAATAATTCTAGTGTATATTTCATTCTGTAAGTGATATGATTCATTTTCAGGAGAAGATCTCCCACAAAATTTCTAAATCTGCTCACGCTACCAGTAGTCTATAAGTAGTTTAGAGGAAGAGCTATATGAACCCAATTATCTATACCTCCATCTGAGAAATTGTCATTCGAGGAGTCGGTCAACACGTGTGATCACGTGATATGGATCTCGGGACTGAAAAAATAGCGACGCTATATTCCATTTGACTGCGAGTTAATCACATTGCTGATCAGCCGCTCATGGCCGAAAGGCTAAGTGCTCAAGCTATGAACCAAAGTCTGCTGGCTTTGAGTTTCATGAGATGCGCGCTACTGGTGTTTCTCAATAGGGCTGAAGCAGCGTATATTGCCTTGACCTGAAGGGCCAACTCTCCATTGAAGCACTCTATACCTGAACGAGATAACTCAGGCTGTATACACCCCTAATAAAAAGCCTCCTAAATGTATGCAACCGTGTTTCTCGAAAATATTGTGGAATTCCTTGCTATTAGAGGCGAAAACTACCAAACTTTCTAATCAATTTCATCCCCGTCAGAATTTGTTCATTTTTGTTCACTTTAATTTTAAAATGACCATATCGCATAACCCTGATGAGTATTGTTCAGTTCAACTTGAATACCTGAGTAAAATAAAGGTGAATTTAAATAATATCAAACCGGCCTTATTGCCTGTAGTCGATATGTAGAAATTTCCGGCCAGCTCCGGGAGGACTTGGACTATAGGCATACATATCCGGTTATCAAATTTAAATAGTTCAGGTCTTTTAGAAAGAGAAATGAATAGATTTACTGCAATGAACAAATAAACCGGTGGCCAATTTTCGGCTGAAATGACTAAATTCACAGAAGTGTTTTAGTAAATACATTTTATCAGAAGCGTCTCTTTACGAAAGAACAAAGCATCTCCAGTAGGCAGCGATTTGTGAGAGTTACTCGCCTCCCAGAATAAGGTTCGTGCAATCCTCCTTGTGCATTGGTGTATACACTGCAAGTTATGACTGCTAGCCATTGTCGGTGGCATTCTTGTTATGAGTTTCTATCTAGTGCACCCGACTTAGACTCTGAAAACAAAGGCACCTCGGAATGAGTGTGGAATGGTAAAGCACAGCTTGCCCTCGACCAACCAAATTCAGGGAAGTAGAACCACAATGCAATACAAACTGGGAACGGACCAACCGGAAAGAAGCTCAAAATATCCAACAAACCAACGAAATATGAATTATACCGACCCCGACAGTGTGGAACGAAGGAACCAACCAGGTTGCATATAGGTTATATATCTATTAGCCAATTCCATGAGAGGATATATGGTACTCTTAGAGACCCACTTAACGTCATATTGATGTTGTTTCCCCAATCGAAGAACATAGTAACTCTATGAAATAACCTTGGTCCTAGAAATCCTTTTAATCCGGTATGGACAATGTCTACAAATCATGCTTTGCCTTACTGAAAATCGACAATGAAACACCAAGCATGTAGTTTCCCATCAGTCTATTTGAGAGGGCCCTGCTTGATAAAAAGGTAGGTTAAAACAGACTTATCAACTTTGCTAGTGACAGCTTAACTTAGTCCCGTCTGTGCTACGCTTTCGTAACGAGCATCGGTCATGAGCATATGTCAGTCGGCAGCCGACGCATTCTAAAACGGGAGGTAACCGCTTCAAAATAAACTCATCAAGTCAATCAGGGACCCTGTAAACTGCTAATCAATAACATTCGCCCAGATTAAAATGACTCATTATAATGTGATATTATACAGTGGATGGCCACGGAAGCAGCAATACATTTGCGGACTTTGACGTTCAGAGAGCTGTATTTTTAACGCCTGACTACCTATGTAACTGGATCTTATATATATCTGTGATGGGCCTTGCTTTCCTTTCAAAGGAAAGGAAAGGAAACCAAAAGAGTAGTTACGGTACAAAACGCAAAAAAGCAGTTTGTCTGAATTGTTGAAGAACAAATTTATCTGCAAATGCGAAATGACGGTTTGTGAGTAATGATTTGATTCTCCAGTCTCCTGTAACACAATGGCAATGTGCATTATTTACGGGAACAAGGGCTAGTTAACGCTGAGATGCAGTTTTATGTGGTCAAAAACTGTTTGTCCGATTGGTTGAATGACTTGGTTCGCAAGCAGTTTAGCCAAACGTTTCGTCGTAATTCAGCTGTAATACCCTTTTGATGCCTATGTGTCATCTCACCCGATGGAAACAAAACAGTTGAGATTCTGCCGGGTTTCCCGAGCCTAAGCACTATTACAACTTGAGTCCCTCTACGAAGGTACTATCACACTAAATAGCACACAGTTTTGACTTTACCTGCTGAAAAGGTTCAAAGTCAGTTTTTACTTCAATTTCACACCTAAGGTTTGGAACTTATGGCCACACTGGGTGGGATTACATATTCTTGCACGAAGCCTTTAGTTTGAAGAAACACGATCACATTGTATTAGTTAATTTCCCCTGAAATGACCAACCTTGGGTATGTTTTTAGTGTGTTCACTGATATGTATATATATATATATATATATATATATATAATCCAGTGGTCG